AAAAAATTTTGAATCAATTGAATCGTTTGTGTAACGATCTGCAAACTCGGGGCATACTCGGGACGGTCTCCCCTGTTGTGTCGGGATTTTGTGTATCGGGATTTTGTGTCGGGATTCAAGAACCTAAAGATTCTAGATCGATTTCTTTTTTTTTTGGAATATTTCTAAAAACCATTTTAAATTTTATAAAATAAAAGTTAATATTTAATTTAATTAATGTAATTGAGATCATTTTTTGTTAAATTATGTTGTTTTTCTTATTTTTTTTTATCTTTTTATCGATGTTTTTTTTTTAATTTCATCACATTTTTAGTTCTTTTTTATAAATATTTTTGATTATTAATTAATTGAATCACGTGAGTACTCCATATAGGATAACTTTATTATGATTGGTCAATCACTTACAATTGTATTTATACAAAGTACTTTTTAAGAATGTAACATTTCACAAGTAAAAAAATAAAAATTTAACTCATCGCTATCTTCGAAGTGCCAACAGTCACTATGCAAAATAATCCCAAATAATCCTGCACCTAGAGGTACCTTACCTAGAAGGTGAAATTTCTACGTAGGTTATGACTATAGAACTATATGTAATTACTAAATCGTTAAATACAGCTAAGTTATTTAAAGAAAACTAACAGTACAACTGTTTTTTTTTTTAACAATAGATAAGCGATCTCCAAGCTATGTTAAAGAGGTTTAAAGCATAAAGAATGTTAATACATAAGAATAGAGTTAGTAATAAGAATAGTTAAAACTTTATATACGTGTATATATATTGAGATTAATGAACGATATATCCTCAAATACTATATTAGTTCAGTATAAAAGGCGTAATAGACATTTAAAAAATACATATCTAGACCTGTTTTTTTCTTTATTCTTTTGTTAAAGTGAGAAGCGATAGAATCATATGCATGTCGATCACTCTACCCGTGTGACTAATATGTCCATTAGCCAATTAAGCGTAACGGTAAATTTTATTAGTATCTAATTTACTACGTAACCGTTATCTATTATGTATAAAAAATTATATTTATACGTATTCGTTTCTATATCAGATATTTAATATATTTGATTCTATTTCAGTATGTACTGTACTTCTACGTTCGCTTCCATATCTAATCTATAACTCTAATATATAAACACATTATACAGTTCTAGTACACATATTATATAGGTGCTTTAAACTATAAAAATATTATAAAAAAGTAGTTAGTTAAACTGTAATATTAGAGAGTGTATTCAATAAATAATAAAACGTTTTGTCTTCTTATTTTTTGCTAACTTATTACCTTTGTTACTTCGTTTTACCCTGTTTTTTTTGTTGTTTATACGTAAAATTTCGCCAATTTAGCTTACATAAATACCTTTTTCTATTTACTAACATTGTTGAATAAATTAAATATGAAAGCTGGTGGATTAAAATGGATTAAACGAGTATGTTATAGCAGTATAGGGCAGTACGAAGGCTTCAAGTTTACTTAGAACATTTAGCCTGGTTAAAAGATGAGATAATCTACCGAGCTTCTGAAAAAAGTATTGTATAACTAGAGTTGGCACATTTATCCGTTGGGGAGTGATGTCAATGGAGTTGTTCATTCACCATTGCTCCATTGAGAATAATTTGCGAATGGCTTATAATATAGCGATAGTATTTGTTAATAATAACTAACTCCATTGGCTAGCAATTTTTTCATCTAGAGGTGCGGACATTTGTCAGGTCAAGGGTAGCTACCCTCCTACATCATATAAAATTTGGGTAGCTACCCCGGTTACGGCTATGACATGTTATTTCATGTTCTAATGTCCGCACCTTTAGGCAGTGTTGTCACCGGACACGGACATGGACACGAACTGGACGTCCGTGTCCAGTGATGTACGTGGACAGCCTTTGGACAAGATTTTGGACATTTTGGACAAAAAAATAATGAATTTACTCAAAATTTTATTAAGATAACCTATTCAAATCTTTTAAGCAAAAATGTTTAGAATTAAATAAAGAATATAATCATATAATTTTTATTTCTATTACTAAAATATTTAAGGCTATGGACATGTCCAAAAAAGCTTTGGACATGCCAAAACGTACAACACTGTCCGTGTCCATGAAATTACAAAATATTATATAATAGTAATAAAGAAATTTTAAAAAAAAATTAAAAATCATTAATATCTTAAAATTTTATTATAAAAACTTATATCATGTCACTAAGTAAAAGTTTTAATAATATAAACTTCACTCTAATGAATCAAAAATCAATTAATCGATTAATTGATCGAGTTAGCAACTAATCAATTGACTATTACATAAGTCATCTAAAACCATGTACCTTTACATATATCTACATATTGTATAAATTCTGTTTTTAATATCTATATACGTATAAATAAAACTATTAAATGCATCAAAAAAACTAACCTAAGGTACATGGCTTTAGCCATCCCCCCTATTACAAACACGATTTTAATCGATTGACCAACTAATCGATTTCCAACTAATCGATTAAATTGATTAACCAATTAATCGATCATTCTATTAGTTAATTAATCAACTAATCGACCAATTAGTTAACTGATTAATACTGATTAATTGATTAGTTAAACGTAATCAACTATTAATCGATTTTCTAAAAATTAACAACTTAATCGATTACGATTTTTTGCCTGATTCATAACACTACCTTGCCCTACTCTTAAATAAATTCTTACAATTTACATAAATTAAAAATAATACCAGTGTACTAACACTTAGTGTAAATTAAGTAATTTTTTTTTAATAAATATTTTGATATTTTGATTGGCTATTTTAGAGGGTGTACTGCTGTGCAGATGTACAGTATTTTTAAACTCTTTTTTGTATTATATGGAACTTGATAAATTACTATATACAGTATATGTCAAAAATAAATATTTTACCAATCCGCAGGTAACTGAGTTAGTTGACAGGGTTTCTCTGGGAATTTTGTGTTATATCGCACTACAAGATCAGGCTCATATATTCGAACATCGTCCAATTGATTGCCAAGGGTCATCCACCCGGGACGCGTATTATGTTGACGACCAAATATTTCTGAATTGAATAAAATTATCGATAAGAAAGAAAATAATTTATAAATAACAAGCAAAATATGATATATACCTACCTAATTTGCGTGTACCAGGTGCCAAACGATCAATTAGCCCGTATATTTCGTCAGGCTTACGACTTGTTTCTCGAACCTTTTAAGAATAAAACAAATGTTAAAGTTAATAATATGTTTGTTATTATATATAGTATTATAATTTATAGTATAACTTTTACCTCTCCAACCAAAACATCACAATCGAGTCCCCAATTTAAATCCTCAGGATTACCTTTAATACCAACTAAACAATGTTCTTTACTGTGGTTAAGCCAATGTCCTGTTCGTCCGGTCCTAATAAGTCTCTGTAATTGATTGGTTTTTATCCATACAAGTTCATCAGCACGATCATATCTATTCAAAATAAACTAAACTCAGTTATATTAATTAAAATTTTATATAAGTCATCAATTTTAAAACATTTACCCCCAAATATTCAAGCATTCCCTTCCTAGTTCCATTGCTCTTCCTGTAACCCATAAAAACAACAGTCCCTCATCCTGCAATGTAGAAATTTCCATAGCTTTCATTTCATCGTCAGTCATGGTACCGTACGGAAGCTGAAAACAGATCTTCTGGTGAACTCGTGATCAATTGATTAATTCAAAAAAAAAATAATAATTAAATACACTACCGTCATGTGAATATCCCATGGTGGATCAGCCATTATTACAGTAAACTTTCCGAGAATTGAAAAGTCGAACTTTCGCACGTCGCAGTTGATCCATTGAGGCGGAAGCTAAGAAAGAAGATAAAATAAATACGTATTTATCGGTTGAATCTGAACATAAGGATGATGATGCTGGAAATTGGAACTATTTTAATATGAATTTTTGTGTGAATTTTTAGTTTCACTTATAGTTATTAGGATTTAGAGTTGGAATTATTAATAAAAGGGTTTATGTTTTCTCCAATTTCCAGCATCAGCTGAGACATAAATTTAATTATTATGCATTAGTGCTAATTTTGGTGTATAAGTAAAGATTCTTACCACTTTTGTTGGTGGAACGAACACCTTAAATTTTAAAAAGTGTGAAATTCTTTCTAGATACAATTCAAATAGACATACTTTAATAAATAGTAATTCCTTACCACAGCAGGTGGGATTTGTTTTCGCTGAATATAAGTCCATTTTTCTTCTTCTTCATCCAGTTCATAATGTACATATTTGCAAGTGTCCATCCGGTGACAGGTGTTCAGATAAGAACAATCACCTAATTCCAAATCTGTATGATGTCGTAACATTGGGCGAAAATGAAGCTATACCGTAACGAAAATGGTAACCCAATTAATTAATTAAGGTAATTAAATAAAAAGGGTTATTTTAAATTTTACAAACTTTTTTACAAGCTCTAGATATTTTTCGGCGCTTTTGACAATCAGCTTTAGTACCGTAAACACAAAACTCCCGAAATGAGTTGTTTGTCGATCGAAACTGTTGTTAAAATAAAATTTAAATTAAACCCATATATACATTATAATAATAAATGTAGAAGTGCCATTACCATTTCGATTATTAATTTATCTTGAGAAGATTTTTTATTTAACATTACACATAGATTATACAACGGACCATTTTCTTCTAATTCCTTAAATGATTGCTTTGCAAGGAGTTCATTTATTTCTTTTGACGCTAAAAATTATTTAGAAAAAATTTGAAGCCCAAACTATTAAATAGACATTCACAAAATGATTTAATTTGTTTAAAAAGGCAAGAATATAAATAATTACCATCATCGTCGTCATCATCTAGTATATTTTCAATTTTGCGCTTTTTATTGGTATTGCTTACATGAGTGGTTAATTGTAATGATTTTTCTAAAGGTAAAGGATTTTCCGTATCCAGGGAACTGTAATAATAATATTACCACCCACAAGATATTCATAGTTTAATTAATTGTCATTATGAAATATATATTACAGTCAGTTAATTGCAACTGTTTACCTTTCGATAATTTTAGCAGCATTCAGCTTACGAAAATCAACCTCTTCAACTATTAATTTCTTACTCCCACCAATCTGTTTTTCTTTTACGGATATAACGTTAGGACCCCATATATTTGACAAAGTCTTGAGTGCAATTTCGAGATTTTTTAAAGATGTCTGCGTAAAAGGAATATGGTGATCATCTTGCCATACAGCAAGTCTAATAATTATGTTTTTTTTTTTTTTATTTGTTTTAGTATATATTAGTAGATTTTTATCCCCAAAATCACAAAATAATCACCTTTTAAGTAGAT